GCATGGAAGGTTCTGGAAGCCAAAGTACACGGCGGAGGGGCCTTGCGCCCCACGCCTCCCGAGAAGATCGGTCAAAGCACGGCATAGAGTGAGCATAATGGGCGTGCCTTCACGCGTTTCCTTGCGTCTACGGACGAGACCGGCTTTCTATGTGTCTTGTCTCTTTTATTTCCTTCGTCTCCCCTCTCTTTATACCCGCCTTCCCCCACTCCGCCTCCCCCCCCAACTGCCGCCCTCAGCCGATGCCGATAATTGCGCCTTGAGAAGACGGATCTTGCTTTCCAACGCCGTCTCTTCCACATCATCATCCCCCCCTGCCCCATCTTTTTGATCCTCGCCCCCACCGCTCACCCCTCTCAAAGTCGCGGAGCTGGGCCTCGGGAGGGGCATTGCCGGGCCGATCTCCCTCTCCCTCGGTCGCGCGCCCCCCCCCGTCCCTCCCCCTCCGCTCTGCTGGAGGCTTTTTGCACGCGCTTTGGAAAGTAGTGTCCGCGCGTCCATGTTCGTGTCGTCTGCGTCTCGTTGATAGCGCACCGCGATGGAGCGCCCGTGGAGACGGCGTCGGTCCAAGGCCCTGATGGCAGACGTGGCCTCCTCGGTTCCGGAGTACGTCACAAAACAGAAACCTTTCGGTTCGCCTTTGCGCGGCCCATGCATGTGCCAGAAAAAGGCAATGTCCACGACTTTTCCGTACGGGAGGAAAAGATTGAGCACATCTTTTTCCTGGACGCTCTTCGCGAGAGATCCGATGAAAAGCTTGGGTCCGGGCCGCCCCGCCAAAGGGTCTTCAGCAGGATCGTCTGGGGACAAATGAGTTGAGGATCATGGTGAAAATTAAGCTATGTCTCGTGTTCCGAAAATTATATCAAGCGCCGCCCTGACGAGGAGAGGCCTTCACAAATGAAGGTACTTAGAGGATGTCCATGCAAGTAAACGGGAGTTAGAATTTATGGGAATGGAAGCAAAAGGCCGTGGCAAAGTCCACACACCAATTTTAATATATGCATAAATCTTATGTGTTTCCAATCGTATTGAGAAAGTGGTGGGTTTGAATGGAAAGAAATGTATTCAGAAGTACCGCCCACTCATGTCAACCCCGAGTACAATAGCAATCATTACCTTTCCCGGCATTGCGGGCCCCTGCGCCCTCCTCTCGACGCCGCTTCATAAAGGAAAGACCTAGAGGTGTAAAACAAACATACGGCGCTAAAATGAGCCATCAAACATCACTTTAAGACGACTGTTGGTAGATAAGTAGCTGATGCGTCCAGGATCATAACCTCCTACCGGAAAAAGGCGGCTGTCCACAACACAGATCGATGCAAACTTAAATTTATTTACGCCTTGGCAGGGTCTCGACAAACAGTTTTTAGTGCTCAACGTTGATCTCAACGAGTGAATTAAGATAACTCATCTATAAGTACGAAACTTGAGGACATGTTCAATGCTTTTTACCTTGATCAGCTTTCCTCAGGGGTGTATTCAATAGCGATGGACAGACCTCTTTCTGATAGCGTTGTCACCGGACGTCGCTCATTGTACATCACAACCATGGACAAGCAGGATAGACATGTCAGATCCACTTGACGGCCTCTTTGGGGACCTGCCTTCTACTACGAGGGAAGCGTCGAGCTCTCAGAGACCGGCACCGCAACATGAGCAGTCTAAGGCGCAGGAACAGCGGCTAAGTCAGAAGCGCGCGGCCACAGCACCAGGATCCTCGGTAGACAACGAGCAAGCAAAAGAAATGGTGCATGGCCCCGAGGCAAAGCGGGCACGAGAAAAGGAAGGTTGTCCATCCCCCCCCATGGCAGTCTCGGAGCCGAAAACGTTGGAACTGCACGAGGCGTTGCAGAAAATCACCCGCGCCCTGACCTCGCCCAAGCTCGAAAAAAGTCGGAAAGCCATGGGCTTGCTGATCAAATTGCTGACAGCTGAGATGAACACGGAAAACGCCTCTCAGTTCCATGCCGCCCTCGGCTTTTTCATGGCCTCGGAGGGAGTGTGGGAGCGTCTCCTAGGGCCAGGAGCGGAAGACCGCGCTTTGGCGCATGCGTTGCTTGCAGCGGTCCGGGATCGCATCCTTCTCTTCGAGCCGAGTGCGCAGTATCGAGCCGCCAGTTGGATCTTGGTCGGGTTACTGCGTCCTGAGCTTCTGACGGACGACACCTTTGCATTCCGACGTGCGGCGCGGCGGATCAGAGAGTACGTCACGGCCCTGGAAAAATTGAGGGAAGACGACACGTTGGCGGATCGAGAGCGACGGAAGGCCATCCTCGCCTGTCTGAGGACGGCCCTCAAGCAAAATTTTCATTCGTGGGCGAAGGCGTCGATCGAGGAACTCTTCAAGGCGACCGCGGAGAAACGTTTGTGTTTCCCGGAAGAGGAGCGGGAGGAATTGGACGAGATGGCCACCAAGCTGAGGACGGAGGCGCGCGGGTTGAGTGTGAATCCGTCGGGGACGGTGGTGTCTCGGAGCGTGCGGATGGTGAACAGCATGGCCACCCCTTTCAACACCAAGAAAGGCGACGTCTTTCGGTAGCGCCCAGGGGGGGGG